CCACGCTGTCCCCGGGCTCCTCCTGTGGAGATCCAGTGGAGGGTGAAGCTGCCTTGTTGTCCCATCCTGACCCACCGCCACCTGCTGACCGCTGGTCAGGGGCCTGAGGACTCTCCCTGAGGGCCCCCGAGGGCTCTTTGGCCTATTGCCCTGTCCCAAAGCAGTCCCCGGGCGTTCGTGTCCTGGTTTGTGGGGTGATAGCTGCTGTGCTGTGGCTCACTGAACACTTTGTGAAATGCAGTTAAAGGAGGTCCGTCATTTGCAACGGAAAACGTTCAATGTCCCAAACATTCAGTGTCCCGTGTTCTGTGTTTTTGGAATGCGCACTTCACAGAGTTGAGGGCCAGGTGGCTGTGAGTCTGTCGAGAGCTCAGGAGGTGGGTCCCTCCTGTGATGAGTCCTTCACATTGGAGCCGCTGTCCATGCGGAGTGGGTGTGGCGGGGGACGGGTGCCTCTGACCTGGGCAGGGTGTGGCATGCCCCTTCCTGGCCAGCTGGGAAAGCCCCTGCCCGCCCTGGCCCGCCTGCCCCATGGAGAGCCTGTTCCGGCCCTGGCTGCTGTCCCTGTCCTGCCCTTGGGAAGAGCTGCGCAGCACTGGGGGAGCTGTACCTGCGTCGAGTGCTGGTCCTGGGAAGGCTTCCCTGGGCTCGCATGTGGGAAGCAGGAAACTGGCGTCCCTGTCAGGTCTGCACCTGCAGCCCCTCCAGGGCGGCCTTGCAGGAAGTCACAGAGCTAGAAGCTTCCCGAATGGGCTGCAGACCTGCTCCCAGTGCCTTCTCTGGCTCGTGGACACTGGGGGCGTCTGGGTGGGGACAGAGCCCTTGGGGTCCCGAGGACATGGAGGGGACGGGATGTTGGTGCTGGACCTGTAGGGCAGGCACCTCGCTGTGTCTCTGTCCTGGCCATGTCCCTGCGGTCACTCCCACGCCAGGGCAGGGCCCCAGGTTCCAGGCCGGCCCCAGGTTCCAGGCCAGCCCCAGCCTTGCCGCTGTGGGCATGGGGTCGCGTGAGAAGCTCTGCCCTCGTGGACGTGCTGGAGTCTGAGTTCTGGTTAACCCTCGATGGCATTTTAACGTGTCTCTTGTGTTTAATTTTTAGTCAGACTTTGAGCCCGGTGCAGGCTTCAGTGGCTGCTGTGGATCGAGAGCCTAGGAGCTTTGGTTCGAGACAATTACAGACGTGGGATGAGCATCCAGTGACAGGACGCGGTTCTGCCTGGGGATTCTGAAGATAGAACGCGTTGAAAAGTCGAATTCATGGTCGTGGAAGCTGAGCCCATTTTAGGCAATGTCAGGTTGGTAGGGGGCAGGAGTGCTGGCAGTGAACCCTTCCCCCGCCACCACCAGGAGGCGCTGCACCTGGGAGAGTCCTCTGGCGCCGTCCGAGGCTGGCACACTCTGCGTGCCGTGGGTTAGGGGGTGAGGCTGCCCTCACCCAAGTGAGGTTTCCTGGTGTTGGATAGAGCCTAGTGGCCCTTGTTTGCTGCTGCCAAGAGGAGTCGAGGGAGGTGGGTGCTCAGTCAGGCCCCGTGTGCGGCAGTGAGGTGGGTCCTGGGGGCCAGATGGAGGCCCGCAGTCCCCGCTGGCTACCCAGCCCACAGGTCACATTTGCTCTGGTCGTGCTGTGAACTCGGTGCTGGGTTAGGATCTCGCTGCCAAGACCTGTTCCTGCACCAACTGCGCAGTT